CTCGAGGACCCCACAGGAACTGATAGCATGGAGGATCACTATCGGGAACTTGCTGGTATTCTAAATATTTTTCCTGCACCAAATCTTCGGTGATGACCTTCTTGACATTTCCGTAGGCAAAGTGATTTATTTCATCGTGGATCCCCATCGCATTAAGCACCTTCCAGACATCCTCTTCATTGGCACAATTTCCTTTCATGAAGATGACACACAGGATGGTCATCAAAAGGCCATTTCTCGGTATGATCTCACCACTCAGCCTTGCATCACAGATAGGATGTAATTTGCTGACAAGAATATAGTAATGCCTGATTGGATCCGATTCCTTCACATCAATTCCAAAAGCCAGCACCATCAGCTCTGAGGCTTTTTTGAGAATCTCATTGAAATGGGCCTTATCCTTTTTGATGACAAACCTGATCATATCTAACTTGGTTATAAGCTCTCCCATGTTATATTTGCGTATGATAAACTGTACCAGCAAAATAGCTTTCTGATCTATAATGGATACACCTGAACTATCAGTGTTGGGAAGTGCTTGGGAAGTGCTTGGCATTTCCTCAGCTAGGCTAGTGACACTTGCATCAAATTTGTGGCATAAAATACATGCAGAAGGATCCGTGGTAGGTTTGGCCTGCTCAGGCTGCTGGGATTTGTTACATGCTTCAGCAGCAGCAGCAGGAGGAGGAGGAGGAGCAGCAGCAGCAGCAAGAGGAGGAGGAGGAGGAGCAGCAGCAGCAGCAGGAGGAGGAGCAGCAGCAGCAGGAGCAGCAGCAGCAGGAGTAGCAGTAGGAGCAGCAGGAGGAGCAGCAGGAGCAGCAGCTCTAGCTCCAGATCCACCTCCACCTCTATTAAGAGAGGAGGAAGAGGGGGTCTCTTCCTCTTCTGCTGCAGTAGGGGCCTGTTCACCTCGAGATTCACTTTTAGCCTTGTTGCGTTTCTCACGAGCACGCAGCTTACTTTTTTGACCACGAGGCATGATGATTCTGGTCTGTACTGGTGCACACCTAGAGGAGGGAGAATGGTATGGTGTTTGTATCTTCAGAGAGAGACTACCTTGTTTTTGGTTGGTTGTTTTTCTTTTCTTTTCTTTCTTTTGTTTTGTTTTTGTTTTTGGTGCCAGTCCTAGGTTTTGAACTCAGTGCCTGATCACTGTCCCTGAGCTTTTGTACTCAAAGCTAGTACACTCCAACTTGAGCCAACGTGAGCCACACAGCTCACTTCTAGTTGTTTAATTTTTTTCTGGGGTTAATTGAGGAGTCTCACAGACTTTCCTGCCTGGGCTGGCTTCGAACTACGATTTCAGATCTCAGACTCCTGAGTAACTAGGACTATAGGCCTGAACTACTGGTGCCTTCAAAAAAGAATCTTGCTTTAAAATTTTTTATTGTTATTATAAGAGTGATGCAGAGAGGGGTTATAGTCACATAAGCCCGGTATTGAACACATTTCTTTTTGGACAGGGTCACTCCTTTCCTTGCACTGTCCCAGTTTTTCCCTCCCATCCCTACCCTCAAGTTGTATAGTTCATTTTCAACCCACCTTGGTTTTTACCTGAGGCTGCCTCTCCAGGTTTCTACCAGATCACTGCTCTGACGGGGTTCCTGTTGGGCTCACTGGAGAAAGAGTGAGAGTGGGTATGTCTTAGCTGCAGTCTGCCAGCTCTGTGTAGGACACAAAGCATGGGCAGGTAGGTCTGGGCTCTGAGAGGTAGGAAGAGGTCCCTGAGTTCACATACACAATCGCCACGTCCACTGGCCCCCTCCCCTCTGTAGCTCTGAAGTTATATGGATGAGCCCTGAGAAGCCAGCGAGGGAAGGGTCCAACCAGGAACCCCTTTCCAGACATGACAACAGAAGCTAGCAGATTTTTCAGTGTCTCCCTTGAATGAAGGCCTCCCCTCCCAGGCAGCCCTGCTGATAACAGAAACTGGATGACTTGTTTTCAGTTTTGATTCCCTAAAGTGTCCATTGGACCAAGGCTTTTCCTCCCAGATCCACTCTCCCTGACAGCCCTGCCTGGAGCAGGGGGCGTGGTGGTGGGGGGTTCCCGGGGGGACCACTAGGGCAGTGTTCTGACAGCCTTCTGTTGTCCTGTAGGGAGTCCCCACCTTCCTTGCTCACAATCCTCTCCTTTATTTTGTCTCTGTCCTGAGACTTTTCCTTTGCCGATCTGAGTCCACAAGCCTCAGATCTGTCTTCAGTCCTTGGCAATCTGGCCGCAGAACTGAGAGGGTGTCCGGCCAAACGGCCGTTCCTAGAACTTCTTAACGCTTGAGTCAGAGGCTGGCTGAATGAGCAGAGTTCTGTTCACTAGGGGCACTGCTTACGTGGGGGGGGGGTTCTATTCACGTGGGGCTCTGTTCCTGCTGGGGGCAGAGGCAGGCCTAGCCCTGCAAGTCTGTCACACTGCATCACTCCTCCCCTCGGAAGACCTGAGCTGGCCTTCCTTAGATCCTGGGCTCTGATCTCCTGAGTTCTCCACTTAGGACCTCCCAGGGGCGGGGCTCTGTGTTGTACCCTTTGATTGGATGTGGGTAGAGGGTGATACATCCTGCAGTTCTCAGGCCTGGTTGTGAAGCCTAGTAAATGTTTTCATGCTCTTGGCCACCAACACCGTGAAAGCTCTTGAGTTTCCCCTTCTGCAAACCTTGCAGAGAATGGCTCACAGTGGAGATGCAGACCTGAAAGCAGCACTAAGAAGATTCCTGGATTTGTTGGTTGCCTTATAAGAAAATACAAGCACACTGGAAATTAGGGTCTGCTCACCAGCCAAACTTAGATTTGGGAGACCTTCTATTTGAGGGCTACTTTCTAAAAGGGGAAAACCTTAGGCACAGAATTTTGTGAGACATATTATCTTTTGACATTACCCACACTAGTCTGTTCTATTCTGGGCCTTTTATCATCTGCATCCCTAGCAAGCATATGTATGCCTGCATATTATTTTTCTTGAAACACAACCTTTTATATTAGATTAGAGGTTTCTGGTGGTCACTAGCGCACTTTCTAGAAATGTACTATCTCCATTCAATTACAAATCCTGGAGCCTGAGGTGCAGTATCTGATTCTCCAGTAAAGCAGTAGAAATTCATTGTCCCAGAGCAAACTAGAAAAAAAAAGCAAGGCCCAAACTAGACCTAGGGGAATGGCTATGCAATTTGGCAAAGGACAGGAAGGGGCTGGACACGTGTGCTGTCACTAAGGCAGTTTGCTCTCAAGGGGCCTCGGGACTAGGGGCAGGGGCCGGGGACTCAGGCAAGTGAGCCCCACAGACAGTTTAAGACTCAATTTTATTTTCCATCTTTAGGCCTGCCTTAAGTACTTTGGCCATAGGGTACGTATCACCTGAGGAATTTCTTGAAGTTGTGGGAATAAGAGACAGCAGGTTGGCCTCAACTTGGGAGGAGTAAAATAGTGGAGCATCTGGGCCTAGCTCTCTTACCAGCTGTGTGCATTTGAAAATGTTTTAGTTCTTTAGCTGCCAAGTGAATCTCATATAGTACCATCTTGTAGGGTTGTGGGAACATATTTAGTAGATGTAAAGCACCTGGTAAAGTGACTTGCCAATATTGGGTCTTTAATGAATGGAAGATGTATGATTATGTTCACACTAGAAGAGAACTACTTTCATCTCTGGGAACTTTTCTTGATTGTATCCTGAAGTTAGAAAATATGCATTGCTCTAGGACAAAGAAAATAAGTCAGCTAAAATGCTGATAAGCAACTAACACTCAGATTTCCTCAGTAGAGAATATTTAATACAGAGGCAGACACCTCACTGGGGTTCGGTTCAATGCTTGCAGGCTTTACCATAAGGACCAGCAATCTCCTTTTCCTTTGATGTCCCACTCAACAGACTTCTATTTTCATTTATTTCACTACCACAAAATCTAGGCCCACTATGGAATGTTGCTTAATGAAGGGAGTAGGCTCTGGTTTCCCAAGCTTAAAGAATGCCTTCCCAGTGGTTTCTTGGCATCGCTCCTCAAGAATCACACACACACACACACACACACACACACACACACACACACACACTTACAAACTCTAAAGAAAATGTGCATAAAACACTGGTTTCTGCACTGTGTTCAACTGTACCAGAAGTGCAGAGCTTCTATCATTCTTACCCTAGGCAGAGATTCTCTCTGCTCTATAATCCCAAAGAATTAATTTCCTATTCTAGGTTTAACCTTGGAACTGCAGGGCTCACGGGCTGAGGGTTTGGCATCTGCTCTTGATTATTAGTCTCACCTAAAATGGGACTAGCTTAACATATCTCCGAACAAATGACTTGCAATGTTCTCAAGCCACAGTGTCTTGACTCAGAGAATTTCCACTTGACCTGCTCCCATCTACAATCTGCCCTCATACCATCCTGAGTCCCTTTTCATCTGTTACTGAATATCATACCATCTTCCTAGTGGAACAACTTTTTTTTTTACATTCTCAAACTCTACAGGCAGAAGATACGTCTCCTTTCTCTTAGCAGCATCTTCATTGCTAACACAGAGCAGATGCTCAATTAATGATGAGAATAAATGTGATAGTGGGCAAGGAATATACTTTAATATTTTATCTTCATTCTCGAATCAGAAAACCAAGGATATATCTTTGAATTTCACAAAAGAAAAACAAACATGAATTAAGGCAATCCAACAACTATGTTTAGATGTTTTGCTTTATTTTAAATACTCCAATTATATGCAGGGGGGTCTGTTACACATTTTCAAAAACATTTTCATGCCCAAACCATGTTTTCTGGTTCTCTAAACAGATATTTTTGTAGATTTTTTTACAATGTATTTCACAGTAACAGTTCTTATACTGAAGTCTGAAAACATGTGATCTATGCTGTTAATAACCATGGCTTTGAAATGCAAGATTGTTATCAACAGAGAGATGTCTGAATAATAATGTGTAACAGGAACACAAGATGTTAACATATTACACTATGGCCATCAGCTTCTTTACAACTAAGTGATGAATTTGTCTCCAACTTCATTGCTGGTGGGAGGAAGTGCCAGGTACATCTGGATCCTTGGCTGAAACTTGAGCCTTCGATGAAACTTGAGCTCTAGCTTGCTCTTCTTCCTCCCTAAGGGCTTCTTCATAATGGCCAGGGAAATCGCTAGGGATGGTATCATTGACCTTTGCTAAAAATTCAAGCACCTGCATTTTTGAGGTTTCAGCATGGGCACGGGGACCCCATAGGAACTGGTAACGTGGAGGATCACTACCTGGCACCTGCTGGTATTCTAGATATTTTTCCTTCACCATATCCCGAGTAATAAGCTTTCTGGGCTCCCCAAAGATAATGTGCTTCCTCCCATCATAAACGCCCAAAATACTCAGGAACTCCCACACTTCTTCCTCAGTAGCGCAGTTGCCATTTAAGAAGATAACACCCAGCAGAGACATTAGAAGCCCATTCTTGGGAAATTCTAAGCCACTGGGCATCCCACCACTGCTGGTAAATTCTGCCTTGCTGACTAAGGTATAGCATGGACTATTGGGTTTGATTTCCTTTAACTCAAGTCCAAATATGAGGTCCATACGCTCAGATGCTTTCTGAAGTATTTCAGGAAAATGGTCTTTGAATCTTCTATTGATAATTTTCATCATTTCTCCCCTCACAATAGGCTGTTTGGTTTTGTACTTGTACAGCAGATACTGCATCAGCATCCCAGCCTTTCTCAGAATGAGATCTTTCCACGGATGCTCAGTAAAAGGTGGGGCCCTGGCAGGATGAGCAGCTTGTGCCCCTCGGGGATTGGCACTTTTACTAGACTTTTTGAGAGAGTCAGCAGCAGTAGCTTTTGAGGTGTTGGCCAGTGGAGCCTTGGACGTGGCGAGAGGTGGCATTCTGGAGGTGGAGGCGACTGGTGCCTTGGTGGTGGTGGCAACTGGTGTCTTGGTGGTGGAAACGACTGGTGCTTTGGTGGTGATGGCGGTGGCAACTGGTGCCTTGGTAGTGGTGGCTGCGGTGACGGCGCCTGGTGACTTGGCGGTGGTGGTGGTGACTGGTGCCTTGGTGGTGGCAGTGACTGGCACCTTCGAGGTGGTGGTATGTGGAGCCTTGGAGATGGTAGGTGGAGCTCCATTTTTTCTCTTAGGAGAATCTTTAGCCGAGGTGCTGGGGATGATATCTCTAGAACCACCTCCAGGGCAGTAGGTGGACTCTTTTTTGTCAGCTCTGGTGGCGTGAGGCTCATCGGTACTCTGGTGACTGTCTTGGGTCTCGTGGTAGCGTTTGTCTTGAGCAGCACGAAGCTTGCTCCCTAGCCCCCGGGGCATGATGACAGCAGTGAAAGAAACGCAGACAGGAATGTGGGCTAGAGAGCAAGTATTGGGACCTGGGGAGGGAAAATGAGATCCTGTCAGTACTTTCACAAAGGGGATACCACTTGAGCTCTGAAGGAGCCACCTCTGTAGGTTTCTGAGTGTATGAATCCACTGGGCTCTGTTTTTGGTCAGCTGATCCCTTAGAAAACCAGTGGAGGCCTGGCTCTGGTGGCTCAAGCCTCTGACCTGAAGGTGAGTTGGGAGGATTGGGGTTGGAAACTAGCCCAGGCAGGCAAAGACACTTGTCTCCAATTAACAGGCCAAAAAATAAAAATAAAAACCCACAAAATAAAAAAAAACAAAAAAAAAACCCGTCGAAGTGGAGCTGTGGCTCAAATAGTAGAGCACTAGCCTTGCGCAAAAAGAAGCCCAAGGACAGTATCCAGGCCCTGAGTTCAAGCCCCAGCAACAGTGCCCCGTGGCCCTTTCCTCAGCTCAAGTGGACAATTCAAAGTTCTTTAGGAAACTTACTTCTTTTACAACCAAGACCGTTGCCCACTGTGGGGTTCGAACCGGGCAGGGGCTTTTCATCAGGGAAAAAGCCCCTGATTTCCAGAGACGGCTAAAATGCAGTCTCTTCAATGTCTTACAACTCTGGCCAGTGACTACCCTGGGCAGGCCTTCGGGGAGGGTTTTTATGAGGTAGGGGGATTGTTACGTGGGGTTGACAGGGTTGACGGAACTCTGAGTTCACATTCAGGGACCTTTAGATTGACTCCGCCTAGATGAAGCCTGAAATTTCTGACAGGGCAGTGCCTAATGCTCTGCTTCTGGGATCCAAGTTAGACGCCTCTGCAAGGCCTGGAGGACCCAATTTCTTCCCTCAGCAAGGCAAAGGAAGTAAGCAGGAAACTATATCCGGTGGGGGGGGGGAGGGGAGATAGTCAAACGTTAGGGTGAGTTCTTAAAGGAGCCCATTGCTTTAAAGTTGGTCTGCTCTAGGTCATCACCTCAATATTTAACAGCATTTCGGATTCCTCATGATATTGCCCGAAGTCTCATGGGCTTTAAACCAAAAGCACACTTTCCTCAGTCCCTTCAGAGGAAATTGGGCTATAGACCTGCCTTCCCCACCAAACCTCTCAAGCCTGAGAGCAAGAAGCTGGGCTTGTCTCCCTATTTTGGAATGTATCATCCTATTAGAACTTAGGGGCTTCCTCTCTCTCTCTCTCTCTCTCCCCAAATATATATATATATATATGTATATATATATATATATGATACTGTACAGAGGGGTTACAGTTACATGAGTAAGGTAATGAGTACATTTTCCTATCAAGCTTTGTTATCCCCTCCTTTGTTTTACCCCTGCCATCCCTTCCCTCCCCACCTCCCTAACTCCTCCCTCCCCACCCCAACCCCCAAAGCTGTAAAGTTCACTTTCAACATAGTGTGTTGTACATCTCATTGCTACAATGGGTCAACCTGTGTCCTTGTTTCAACATTTTGCTTTTTCCCTTCCCCTCCCCAAATTAGAAAAAAGTATATACAAGATGCAGGGCACCAGAATCAAATACAGTGAAAACAGGGGTTATACATGGAGGAAAAACCATACAAAATAAACCAAAAAAAATCACATAATACATTATGAGTACATTAAAAACAACGACAACAAAGATAAAACCTCTTGTGTCCCTATCGTGGGGTTCATTTCGCTTAGCATCATCTTATATGGTCATATGTACATAGCTTTTGACCTTCTCTGTTTATCCAAACATACTACTTATTGCAAATAAGGGAAACCATGGGACCTATGTTCCTTTGGGTCTGGCTTACCTCACTTAATATTCTTTCTAAGTCTATACATTTCCTAACAAATGGGGGGGGGGTCCGGTTGTGGGGCCTGGGAGCTGTCCCTCAGCTCTTCAGCTCTTCAGTTTAAGGCTAGCACTCTACCACTTGAGCCACAGCACCACTTCCAGCTTTTTTCTTTTTGCTTATGTAGTGCTGAGGAACCAAACCCAGGGCCTCAGGCATGCAAGGCAAGCACTCTACCACTGAGCCACCTTTCCAGCCCCTATTTTCTAACAAATGGGACGGTGTCATTCTTTCTGATGGAGGCAACAAGCAGTAACAGACTTCTCACCCAAGAAAAGCCCCAGAACTGGATGGATTTACAGCTGAATTCTACAAGGCCTTCAAAGCAGAACTCACACCAATACTCCTCCAACCCTTCAATGAAATTCAAAGTGAAAGGTCACTACCAAATTCTTTCTATGAAGCCATCATAACCCTCATCCCCAAACCAGACAGGGATGCATCAAAGAAAGAGAACTATAGACCAATTTCTTAGATGAAATCAAAATTGATACAAAACTTCTTAACAAAATTTTGGCTAATCTACTTCAGGGGTCTTCCTTTTGACTTCAGTTTTCTAAGATTCTCTCTCTATTTTATAGAAGTAGGTCCCTGACCATTCTAAATCATCACTGTTTTCTGAGACTTTCTGGTTAAAAATAGACACTCTGGTGCTTCAAAGCCAGGTGTGGGATCTGTGAGGTACTCTGATACTGAAGGTCTCCTCCTAACAGTCTTAATACTGATTCTTGTTAGTCCTCCATCTTCTCCCTCAGCAAAATCTGAGGCTATCTCCACTTAGAATGAAGCCTTTACCCCACCTGAGATTTTCCAGGCAGAAATCAGCCTGATATCTGTGTGGGACTTTCTACAACAAACAGCAGAGGAAACTTTGGGGATCTCCTTTGAGGGGCCTCTCTGGAGAGGGTGTTACTATTAATTCACATTCATATCCCTAGTTAGACAAGTGACCAATCTCATAAGTCTCTTCCTTATTTATTTGAACCTGCTTCTCTCAATTTGGAAGTTCTGCCTCTATCATAATTTTGAATGAGAAGTCAGAGGGATTGTCATATGACCCTGCAAAAATCCAGCGAATTTCCTGCCTACAAACCCAGCAGAGAAGAGGGCCTTGTTCGAGGAGTGATATGTTAGAAATTGCAAGAAAAGACAAGTAATTCAATGCCTATATTGATAAATCTATATTTGTTCCCAATTAACTTATGTAGAGTAAAATAAGATTTTAAAATATTTTATAATTTAGCTTAGGAACGCTAATGAAAACAGATTTTTGTTTTGGAAGTTACATTTACTTTTCCCCTATTTAATTTTAACTTATATTCATTTTCTGGCCACATGGTTTTTCTGTGTGTCTCTTTCACCCAAATTGTATTTTGAGATACTTTTTGAAGGTATTATAACCATAATTTATGAGAGACAAGAAAGTAATTGAAATCGGGAGTTTATGTTAGCATGTTAAGATATATGAATTTATTGTTCTTGTTCAGTCCTCTGCCATGTGTGTGTGTGTGTGTGTGTGTGTGTGTGTTTCAAATGGGCTTGAACTCAGGGCCTGGTCTCTGCCCCTGAGCTTTTGTACTCAAAGCTAGCACTCCACCACTTGAGCCATAGCTCTATTTCTAGCTTTTTCATGGTTAATTGGAGATAAGAGTCTCATGGACTTTCTTGCCCATGCTGGCCTCAAACTATGATCATCAGATCTTAGCTTCCTGAGAAGCTAGAATTACAGGCAAAAGCCACGAGCATGTGATATTATTTTTACTACTGAGTATACCCTATTGGTTTCATTTTAATTTTGCTGCTCACTGATATTCTACACTAAGACATTTTCATTTTTATCCGCTCATATTTTGCTTCATATTTGTCTATGTACTAATATGTCCCAGCTTAAAAAACAAACAGGGATTTCAGGATAGATGTTGCTCTGGTTTGTGAGGGAAAACCCCACCCCACTTAACTATTTCTTCTTTGCCAACAAAACAGTAGTTATAAAAGATTTACTTTCTACAGAAAGTATAGCATGGATCTGATTTTTGCATATATAGCTGACCACATTATCTCTATCCCCCCACTTTCTTTTTTTTCCTTCTCTTTTTTCAGTAATAGGTTTTGAACTTAGAACTTCTTGCTTGATAATTTGTCATTCTACCACTTGAGCCATGCTCCCATCCCTATGTTTTTTTGAGAACTTTTCTTTGGATCATATTGAACTGGGAGCCCTCTGCTCTTTGCCTTCTGAGCAGCTAGGATTAAAGTCATGATCCTTCAATACTGGGCTTTGAGTATCATCATCTCTTTTTGCTCCTTATTCACATGTCAAGTATTTTGATATTCCTGATTCTTAGGTTGTATATAGCAATATAATGCTTTGGACACAGAGTTTGTCATTTTATCATTGTGGATACATTTTTGAATCATAGATGAAAAAAACATAAGCTATGTGTGCATGGCTAGCCACAATCAGGGATGAATGTGAGTTCTAGGGGAATTGTGAGCAAGAGTCTAGTCCTAGCCCTATCACTTACTAGCTGTGTGGCTAGGGCACACTACCGAATTGTATGAATCTCAGATTATCTCTGCAAAATCAGTTCATAAGATCTGTTGTAGAATGTACTTAATGTGTGCAAAGCATCTGGCACATTATTTGGAGGGAATTGAGACTTAAAACAGTACCTGTTATTATTACAATGATTAAAACCAAGAAGATATCATTCTCCTTTCTGATCATTTTAAATCAAGGAAATAAGAGATCTTATAGGAACAAAAACAACAAATTAGCCAAAAATGCTGTTTACAAAGACATGATAAGCAAAACTTACCCCATTAAATCATATTTTACTTTCTAAATGGAATAATGCAACTTAAATTCTCTAGAAATTAGTTTAAGGACCAACTCTAGCCTTTCCTTCAAGCCATTCTTATTTTCATGAATTTAGCCACAATGCCAAATCCAGATGTCCTTTATAGTTTGCATGCGTGTGTGCGCGTGCACATACACACACACGCGTGCACACACACACACACACACACACACACACACATTCACACATTGGTTCTTTACTGGAATGGGCTCCCCAGACCATGGCACAATACCAACCCAGTGACTTCTGAGTTTCCAATCTCAAAAGAGTATC